CACAACACAATACCATAGCTGGAACAATACACAACACACAATACCATACCTGGATCAATACACAACACACAGTTCCATGGCTGGAACAATACACAACACACAATACCATGGCTGGAACAATGCACAACACACAATACCATGGCTGGAACAATACACAATACCATGGCTGACACAATATATATCAGAATACCATGGCTGGTACAATGCACAATACCATGGCTGGTACAATACACAATACCATGGCTGACACAATATATATCAGAATACCATGGCTGGTACAATGCACAATACCATGGCTGGTACAATACACAATACCATGGCTAAAACAATGCACATCACAATGCCATGGCTGGAACAATACACAATACCATGGGTGGAACAATAGACAACTCATAGTACCTTGGCTGGGACAATACACAACCCACTTATAACTTGGTTGGAACAATTCACATCTAACCCACAATACTATGGCTTGAACAATTAACGGCCAATCCACAATTCCATGGCTGGAACAACCGTCAATCCACAATACTGTGGATGAAACAGTTCACATCTAGCCCACAGTACCGGGTCTAAAACAATACACAATATCGTGACTGGAACAATTTAAAACCCACAACCAACCCACAATACCATGGCTGGAACACTTAACAACCAACCCACAATACCGTGGGTAGAACAATTCGCAACTTTGAATTCCTCCAGCCACGGTATTGTAAGTTGTTCCAGCCACGGTATGATAAGTTGTTCCAGCCACGGTATGATAAGTTGTTCCAGCCACGGTATGGTAAGTTGTTCCAGCCACGGTATGATAAGTAGTTCCAGCCACGGTCTTGTAAGTTGTTCCAGCCACGGTATTGTAAGTTGTTGTTCCATTCACGGTATTTTAAGTCGTTGTTCCAGCCACGGCATTGTAAGTTGTTGTTCCAGCCACGATATTGTAAGTTGTTGTTCCAGCCACGGTATTGTAAGTTGTTGTTCCAGCCACGATATTGTAAGTTGTTGTTCTGGCCACGGTATTATAAGTTGTTGTTCCAGCTACGGTATTGTAAGTTGTTGTTCCAGCCACGGTATTGTAAGTTGTTATTCCAGCCATGGTATTGTAAGTTGTTCCAGCCACGGTATTGTCAGGTGTTGTTCCAGCCACGGTATTATAAGTTGTTGTTCCAGCCACGGTATTGTAAGTTGTTGTTCCAGCCACGATATTGTAAGTTGTTGTTCTGGCCACGGTATTATAAGTTGTTGTTCCAGCCACGGTATTGTAAGTTGTTGTTCCAGCCACGGTATTGTAAGTTGTTATTCCAGCCATGGTATTGTAAGTTGTTCCAGCCACGGTATTGTCAGGTGTTGTTCCAGTCACGGTATTATAAGTTGTTGTTCCAGCCACGGTATTGTAAACTGTTCCAGCCACGGTATTGTAAGTTGCTGTTCCAACCACGGTATTGTAAGTTGTTGTTCCAGCCACGGTATTGTAAGTTGTTGTTCCAGCCACGGTATTGTAAGTTGTTATTCCAGCCACGGTATTGTCAGTTGTTCCAGCCACGGTATTGTAAGTTGTTGTTCCATCCACGGTATTGTAAGCTGTTGTTCCAGCCACAGTATTGTAAGTTGTTCCAGTAACGGCATTTTAAGTTGTTGTTTCAACCACAGGTTGTTCCAGCCACGGTACTGTAAGTTGTTGTTCCAGCCACGGTATTGTAAGTTGTTGTTCCAGCCACGGTATTGTAAGTTGTTGTTCCAGCCACGGTATTGTAAGTAGTTCTAGCAACGGTATTGTGGGTTAGCTTTAATTATTTCAACCACGGTATTGTGGGTTGTTGTTACAGCCACGGTATTGTAAGTTGTTGTTCCAGCCACGGTATTGTAAGTTGTTGTTCCAGCCACGGTATTGTAAGTAGTTCTAGCAACGGTATTGTGGGTTAGCTTTAATTATTTCAACCACGGTATTGTGGGTTGTTGTTACAGCCACGGTATTGTAAGTTGCTGTTCCAGCCACAGTACTGTAAGTTAGTTGTTCCAGCCACGGTATTGTAAGTTGTTGTTCCAGCCACGGTACTGTAAGTTGTTGTTCCAGCCACAGTACTGTAAGTTAGTTGTTCCAGCCACGGTATTGTAAGTTGTTGTTCCAGCCACGGTACTGTAAGTTGCTGTTCCAGCCACAGTACTGTAAGTTAGTTGTTCCAGCCACGGTATTGTAAGTTGTTGTTCCAGCCACGGTACTGTAAGTTGTTGTTCCAGCCACAGTACCGTAAGTTAGTTGTTCCAGCCACGGTATTGTAAGTTGTTGTTCCAGCCACGGTACTGTAAGTTGTTGTTCCAGCCACGGTACTGTAAGTTGTTGTTCCAGCCACGGTATTGTAAGTTGTTGTTCCAGCCACGGTATTGTAAGTTGTTGTTCCAGCCACGGTATTGTAAGTTGTTGTTCCAGCCACGGTACTGTAAGTTGTTGTTCCAGCCACGGTATTGTAAGTTGTTGTTCCAGTCACGGTAGTGTAAGTTGTTGTTCCAGCCACAGTACTGTAAGTTAGTTGTTCCAGCCACGGTATTGTAAGTTGATGTTCCAGCCACGGTATTGTAAGTAGTTCTAGCAACGGTATTGTGGGTTAGCTTTAATTATTTCAACCACTGTATTGTGGGTTATTGTTACAGCCACGATATTGTGGGTTATTGTTACAAACACGGTATTGTGGGTTATTGTTACAGCCACGGTATTGTGGGTTATTGTTACAGCCACGATATTGTGGGTTATTGTTACAGCCACGGTATTGTGAGTTATTGTTACAGCCACGGTATTGTGGGTGACTGTTACAGCCACGGTATTGTGAGTGATTGTTACAGCCACGGTATTGGGGGTTGTTGTTACAGCCACGATATTGTGGGTTATTGTTACAAACACGGTATTGTGGGTTATTGTTACAGCCACGGTATTGTGGGTTATTGTTACAGCCACGATATTGTGGGTTATTGTTACAGCCACGGTATTGTGAGTTATTGTTACAGCCACGGTATTGTGAGTGATTGTTACAGCCACGGTATTGGGGGTTATTGTTACAGCCACGGTATTGTGGGTTGTTGTTACAGCCACGGTATTGTGGGTTGTTGTTACAGCCACGGTATTGTGGGTTATTGTTACAGCCACGGTATTGTGGGTTATTGTTACAGCCACGGTATTGTGGGTTATTGTTACAGCCACGGTATTGTGAGTTATTGGTACAGCCACGATATTGTGGGTTATTGTTACAGCCTCGGTATTGTGGGGTTTTAAGGGTCACAGCCACAATATTGTGGAATTTTAAGTCTCACAGCCACGGTATTGTAGGTTTTTAGTTGTCACGTCCATGGTATTGTGGATTTTGAGGTATCACAGATACGGTATTGGTTTTTAAGTGTCACAGCCACGGTATTGTGGGGTTTTAAGTGTCAATCACATTATTGTGGGTTTTTAAGTGTCACAGCCACGGTATTGTGGGTTTTAAGTGTCAAAACCACGGTATTGTGGGTTTTTAAGTGTCACAGCCACGGTATTGTGGGTTTTTAAGTGTCACAGCCACGGTATTGTGGGTTTTAAGTGTCACAGCCACGGTATTGTGGGTTTTTAAGTGCCACAGCCACGGTATTGTGGGTTTTTAAGTGTCACAGCCACGGTGTTGTGGGTTTTTAAGTGTCACAGCCACGGTGTTGTGGGTTTTTAAGTGTCACAGCCACGGTGTTGTGGGTTTTTAAGCGTCACAGCCACGGTGCTGTGGGTTTTTAAGTGCCACAGCCACGGTGTTGTGGGTTTTTAAGTGTCACAGCCACGGTGTTGTGGGCTTTTAAGTGTCACAGCCACGGTGTTGTGGGCTTTTAAGCGTCACAGCCACGGTGTTGTGGATTTTTAAGTGTCACAGCCACGGTGTTGTGGGTTTTTAAGTGTCACAGCCACGGTGTTGTGGGTTTTTAAGTGTCACAGCCACGGTGTTGTGGGTTTTTAAGTGTCACAGCCACGGTGCTGTGGGTTTTAAAGTGCCACAGCCACGGTGTTGTGGGTTTTTAAGTGTCACTGCCACGGTGTTGTGGGCTTTTAAGTGTCACAGCCACGGTGTTGTGGGCTTTTAAGTGTCACAGCCACGGTGTTGTGGGTTTTTAAGTGTCACAGCCACGGTGTTGTGGGTTTTTAAGTGCCACAGCCACGGTGTTGTGGGTTTTTAAGTGCCACAGCCACGGTGTTGTGGGTTTTTAAGTCCCACAGCCACGGTGTTGTGGGTTTTTAAGTGTCACAGCCACGGTGTTGTGGGTTTTTAAGTCCCACAGCCACGGTGTTGTGGGTTTTTAAGTGCCACAGCCACGGTGTTGTGGGTTTTTAAGTGTCACAGCCACGGTGTTGTGGGTTTTTAAGTGCCACAGCCACGGTGTTGTGGGTTTTTAAGTGTCACAGCCACGGTGTTGTGGGTTTTTAAGTGTCACAGCCACGGTGTTGTGGGTTTTTAAGTGTCACAGCCACGGTGTTGTGGGTTTTTAAGTGTCACAGCCACGGTGCTGTGGGTTTTTAAGTGCCACAGCCACGGTCTTGTGGGTTTTTAAGTGTCACAGCCACGGTGTTGTGGGCTTTTAAGTGTCACAGCCACGGTGTTGTGGGCTTTTAAGCGTCACAGCCACGGTGTTGTGGGTTTTTAAGTGTCACAGCCACGGTGTTGTGGGCTTTTAAGTGCCACAGCCACGGTGTTGTGGGTTTTTAAGTGTCACAGCCACGGTGTTGTGGGTTTTTAAGTGCCACAGCCACGGTGTTGTGGGCTATATTTTTTTATTCAAGGTTATACTGAGATAAAGAGGAATTATGATGAAGATTGAGACACTTACGCAACATATGGGAATCTTCGTTGAATAAACGTTTCTTCATGTGTTGCGTCAGTGTTTTAATCTTCAAGTTTTCGGTTTTTAAAACCATTTATTACAGGAATTGTGTTTATTGTTTGATTTTTTTTACTTAGTTGAGCTGAAAATTGATTAGTTGATAGACTTACCTAGATTGATGGGTTTTTTGTCTGCTGGTGTGGGCGGGAGAACGGTGGTTGAGGGCGTGGGCGTGAGTGGGTGGAGGGGCGGTGGGCCACGGAGAGCAGACACACCCGTCTGGTGGGGTGACGAGAGGGCGGCGTGGGTGTGCGATGCTGAGGTGATGTGGGCGGAGGTGTGGGCGTGGGAGAGGGCATGCACGGAGTCGTGGGCGTGAGTCACATCCAGGGCGTGGAGGGTGTCGTGGGCGGCGGCGTGGCGGTGACGATGGTGGTCGTGGAGGGCGTGGGTGGGGTCGTGGGTGGGGTCGTGGGTAAGCGTGGGGGTGTGGGAAGAGGGGTCGTGGGAGAGTGGTGGAGGCTGGAGGTCGTGGAGGGAGAGGCCATCGTGGAGGCCGGAGGCTAGGCCCTCCATGGCGGCCGCTGGGCACCGCCGCTGGGCACCGCCGCTGGGCACCGCCGCCGCCCTCTGCAGTGCCCCGCGCGATCTCACACACTAGCGCAGATCCTCAAGTCCAAGTCGCGGTGCTTTCCGCTCGCGGTAAATTCGGCTCAGGTGGGAGGGGGGCTCAGGTCATAAGTCGGGCGGCAAGTCCGGCCAATCCTGCAGTATCCGGCCCCAATCAGCGCCGCCGCTCACTCCTCCCGCCCGTGGAGGCAGATATCGCCCCGTCGACGCCCGTCACCCACGCTAGTCCACCCTTGCCACTCCAAATCTTCCAGAAATCCCCCCGGCCCAAGTAGCCGGTTGTACCAAGGGCTTACTGCTCAAGCTCTGGAAGCCCCAGTCAAGTCGGCAGGCTTGGCCGAGCTTCCGCCACGGTGTCTCTCCGTCAGGACGCTTGCGGCTGCAGGCTGGCTGCGGCCGCCTTCAACACCACCACCGCCGCCCCAAAACACCTGCCAATCTTCCCGCAGTTTTTCTTCCCTCCCCCCCTGTCTCTCTCGCTTTTTTTTATATATATAGGAGAGTAATGCCCAGGGTAGCGCACACGGTGTTACTGGGAACAATCGGTATTCTGCTATGACCGTGGGTATTGCCAGTAGTTAACTTGGGCTAAATCATCCGACATTATCTTCGACCATTTGGCGGGAAGGGGGGGAGTGGGCGGGGCCTCCGCCCTTCCAGCCAATCACCGTCCACCTACCACCCCCCTCCCCATCAACAAACCCCGTACCCCCGGCAAGCCGGATGTGACATCACACGGCGAACTTTAACTCTCTCCTCTAACAACTCATCAATCACAATCGTCCTCTCTTACCGTCAACTTTCCTTCCCTCCCCCCCCTCCCTAGCACCGACGCCCCAGAATCACCCGTCCCTCCCTGGGCAGGCATCTCACAGAACGTCGGGAATTGAACGCTGAGGAAGTGTATCTAGTGAGGCATGGCACGAACCCAGCTGTGAGGGGGGGGGGGAGGAGGCGTGGCCTGAGAGTGTGAGACACCGGAGGGAGTGGAGGGGGGACCATGAGTGGGCGGGGCCAACCAATGGCCCACACTCCACCATGTCCATCAATTTAATACCCTACGAATACACTCCCGCTTGAGTTATGGTATAGTCAATTTGATTTGTAGCCAAGAGGTAGAAAGTCAGAAGGGATACCACCGAATATATTCCTTCTTTATTCCCATAAAGAGAAAAAATCATTCCTTGTTTTTTTTTGAGCCCATGAAGCCGGTATATAAATATTACAAAATAAAAATCACACACAAAAAACGGGAGATTCATTCCCAGGCGTATGATATTTCGAGGGGGAACTAAATCTTTAATTGTGGAAAAAGCCGCTGGACTTTCAAGAATAGCAGAGAAAACTCTGGAAGCTTATTGTAAAATCGATGTGGGAGGGGGAGGGGGAGGGGGGAGGGGGAGGGGGAGGGGAGGAGTGGGGGTGAGGGGTTGAATGCGGTCCAACGGGTGGTTCTTGAGTTTGGTCTGATGGGTGGTTCTTGTGGTCTGAAGGGTTGGTCTTGTGGTCTGACGGGTTGGTCTTGTGGTCTGATGGGTTGTTCTTGTGGTTTGATTGGGTTGGTCTTGTGGTCTGACGGGTTGGTCTTGTGGTCTGATGGGTTGTTCTTGTGGTTTGATGGGTTGGGTCTTGTGGTCTGACGGGTTGGTCTTGTGGTCTGATGGGTTGTTCTTGTGGTTTGATGGGTTGGTCTTGTGGTCTGACGGGTTGGTCTTGTGGTCTGATGGGTTGTTCTTGTGGTTTGATGGGTTGGTCTTGTGGTCTGACGGGTTGGTCTTGTGGTCTGATGGGTTGTTCTTGTGGTTTGATGGGTTGGTCTTGTGGTCTGACGGGTGGTTCTTGTGGTCTGACGGGTTGGTCTTGTAGTCTGACGGGTGGTTCGTATGGTCTGACGGGTTGGTCTTGTGGTCTGACGGGTGGTTCTTGTGGTCTGATGGGTTGTTCTTGTGGTTTGATGGGTTGGTCTTGTGGTCTGACGGGTGGTTCTTGTGGTCTGACGGGTTGGTCTTGTGGTCTGACGGGTGGTTCGTATGGTCTGACGGGTTGGTCTTGTGGTCTGACGGGTGGTTCTTGTGGTCTGACGGGTTGGTCTTGTGGTCTGACTGGTGGTTCTTGTGGTTTGACAGGTTGGTCTTGTGGTCTGACTGGTGGTTCTTGTGGTCTGACGGGTTGATCTTGTGGTCTGACTGGTGGTTCTTGTGGTCTGACGGGTTGGTCTTGTGGTCTGACTGGTGATTCTTGTGGTCTGACGGGTTGGTCTTATGGTCTGACGGGTGGTTCTTGTGGTCTGACGGGTTGGTCTTGTGGTCTGACGGGTTGGTCTTGTGGTCTGACGGGTTGATCTTGTGGTCTGACGGGTTGGTCTTGTTGTCTGACGGGTGGTTCTTGTGGTCTGACGGGTGGTTCTTGTGGTCTGACGGGTTGGTCTTGTGGTCTGACGGGTGGTTCTTGTGGTCTGACGGGTGATTCTTGTGGTCTGACGGGTTGATCTTGTGGTCTGACGGGTTGGTCTTTTGGTCTGACGGGTGGTTCTTGTGGTCTGACGGGTTGATCTTGTGGTCTGACGGGTTGGTCTTGTTGTCTGACGGGTGGTTCTTGTGGTCTGACGGGTGGTTCTTGTGGTCTGACGGGTTGGTCTTGTGGTCTGACGGGTGGTTCTTGTGGTCTGACGGGTGGTTCTTGTGGTCTGACAGGTGGTTCTTGTGGTCTGACGGGTTGGTCTTGTGGTCTGACGGGTTGGTCTTGTGGTCTGACGGGTTGGTCTTGTGGTCTGACGGGTTGGTCTTGTGGTCTGACGGGTTGGTCTTGTGGTCTGACAGGTGGTTCTTGTGGTCTGACGGGTGGTTCTTGTGGTCTGACGGGTTGGTCTTGTGGTCTGACGGGTGGGTCTTGTGGTCTGACGGGTTGGTCTTGTGGTCTGACGGGTGGGTCTTGTGATCTGACGGGTTGGTCTTGTGGTCTGACGGGTGGTTCTTGTGATCTGACGGGTTGGTCTTGTGGTCTGACGGGTGGTTCTTGTGGTCTGACGGGTTGGTCTTGTGGTCTGACGGGTTGGTCTTGTGGTCTGACGGGTTGGTCTTGTGGTCTGACAGGTGGTTCTTGTGGTCTGACGGGTTGGTCTTGTTTTCTGACGGGTTGGTCTTGTGGTCTGACGGGTTGGTCTTGTGGTCTGACAGGTGGTTCTTGTGGTCTGACGGGTTGGTCTTGTGGTCTGATGGGTTGGTCTTGTGGTCTGACGGGTTGGTCTTGTGGTCTGATGGGTTGGTCTTGTGGTCTGACGGGTTGGTCTTGTGGTCTAACTGGTGGTTCGTGACCGGCCTTGAGCCTCCGCGGGAGGTGACACCAGTCTACCTACACACCATCACTACGCTCATGTGTGTATATATATGTATATACACTCAACTTTAAACATATTTACATATACATTAATGCGTATACGTACATGCACATACTTTGTATATATATATATATATATATATATATATATATATATATGTGTGTGTGTGTGTGTGTGTGTGTGTGTGTTGTGTGTGTGTGTGTGTGTGTGTGTGTGTGTGTGTATCTACATGTGTTGTATATATAAACGCATGTGTATGTATATATACGTATTTATGTGTATGTATGTGTTGTACTGGCTGACTTTTACCTCTCTATATGTACCCACCTGTATGTGGTTGCAGGTGTCGAATCACAGCTCCCGTATGTTTGCGTGTATGTCTAGTGAGAAGTATTACCCTGTATACCAGACGTAGTTACGTTTATCATCCTGTGTAACAGACGTTTTCTGAGACTGTATGTAGACTGCTCTTAGTTAAACTTTGTGAGACAAGGCTGGTCTTGTGAGACAAGGCTGGTCTTGTGAGACAAGGCTGGTCTTGTGAGAAAGGCTGGTCTTGTGAGACAAGGCTGGTCTTGTGAGACAAGGTTGGTCTTGTGAGACAAGGCTGGTCTTGTGAGACAAGGCTGGTCTTGTGAGACAAGACTGGTCTTGTGAGACAAGGCTGGTCTTGTGAGACAAGGCTGGTCTTGTGAGACAAGACTGGTCTTGTGAGACAAGGCTGGTCTTGTGAGACAAGGCTGGTCTTGTGAGACAAGACTGGTCTTGTGAGACAAGGCTGGTCTTGTGAGACAAGGCTGGTCTTGTGAGACAAGGCTGGTCTTGTGAGACAAGACTGGTCTTGTGAGACAAGGCTGGTCTTGTGAGACAAGGCTGGTCTTGTGAGACAAGACTGGTCTTGTGAGACAAGGCTGGTCTTGTGAGACAAGGCTGGTCTTGTGAGACAAGACTGGTCTTGTGAGACAAGGCTGGTCTTGTGAGACAAGGCTGGTCTTGTGAGACAAGGCTGGTCTTGTGAGACAAGGCTGGTCTTGTGAGACAAGGCTGGTCTTCAACTTTGTGGCGTTCAATCTCACGCTGAAAGTTGAAATTGAGCTGGTGGAATGTTGGAGTCCTGTCAGTGCCGCTGCTGCTGGGGAGCGCTGAAAGCTTCGTTGACCATCAGCATAACAAGCTATAAATACTGGCCTGTAGGCTGAATGGGACCATAGCCTAGTGGGACCATAGCCTAGTGGGACCATAGCCTAGGACCATAGCCTAGTGGGACCATAGCCTAGTGGGACCATAGCCTAGGACCATAGCCTAGTGGGACCATAGCCTTGTGGGACCATAGTATTCCATTTCTACAACTCAGTCTTTCACACACACACATACACACACACACACACACTCACACACACACACACACACACACACACACACACACACACACACACACACACACACTGAGTCTCGACCCCTGCAACCACAATTAGGTGAGTACAATTAGGTGAGTACACACACACACATTTCAAGTGTAATATGGTTATAAGTAACTAGGTAGAGGAGACATACACCATACACGGTTTGAAGAACAGGTATGACAGCCAAACCGACTGGGCTTGATTAACAGGGTAAGAGTCGGGTCCAGGAGCTGAGCTTCGGACCCCGAAATCACGAATAAGTGAGCCCCCCTTACATACACGCCCATCTACGCGTCCACCCACACCCACACCCACACCCACACCTCCCCGTCGACAAAATTCGTTATAATTAACCTACTATCACTGAGTGGGTGGTCGCTCATGGGTCTAATCTATGATTTACAACCCATAAACTGTCGACACTCTAACCTCCCCCCACCCATGATCCCATTCACCCCCCCCCTGATAACTCTCACCTCTCACCCCGGGGACAAGATAATCCCATCCCAAGCCTGATTATAGTGTCGATTATCTGCCTAAAACTAGCGGGCGAGTAGCAAAGCCCCGTCCACACAAGTGTTGTCTAATCTACCCTCGCTGAGGTAAGGTTAAAGGTGGAATTTGACCAGTGGCAGAACAGTGCTATCCCACCGGGGGACATAGAGTCGTTGATCCTGAGTTTCCAATGCTGGAAATCGGACCTTCGTGATATAGAGGAAATTATAGTTAATGTAAATATTTTCTACTGTATAGTAATGTACCTTTGATGAGTTTCGAGAGTTTCTCTGCTCCGGGAGCCCGGCCTTGGGCCAGGCTCAGTCAACC